GGGGCTTGGGAGCTGGAATGTGTAGTTCACACCCCAGTGATTGGGACCCTAAATGGATGCATTTCTCTGTGACCAAAATAGAGCTCCCAAATACACTTTTAAATAAAAGGCGGAGTTCCTTCTGTCTTTCCCATTGGGGCCTGACCCTGGCCCTGGGATGGAGCAGGGATCCGTCTTTGAGGAGAGCAGGGCAGGGGCTGATCTTGGAGACGTGGGCTCACAGCTGGGGAGGCCGAGACTGGAGCCAAAGCAGGAGGGCATCATGGGGGTGTGTAGCCAAGGGCTCATCCGTACTCCACGCAGCTGTCTCCTCTGCCTGGCCCAGGCCGTGAGGTCACACAATGCTCACAGCAGGCGGAGCCAGACCACAGCATGCCGGCCGGTTGGAGTTTATCATGGTCTATGTCTGTGTCTATGTGTCTCTGTGTCTCTGTGTCTCTGTGTCTCTCTCTGTCTCTCTCTCTCTCTCTGTCTCTCTCTCTGTCTCTCTATGTCTCTCTATGTCTCTGTGTCTCTGTGTCTCTGTGTCTATGTCTAATGTCTATGTCTATGTCTATGTCTATGTCTATGTCTATGTCTATATTACATCATATATACACTTTAATCCTTACGTGAGGATATTTTTCCCCATTGATTTTTTAAAGAGAGATTGGAAGGGCAGAGGAAGAGAGAGAGAGAGAGAGAGAGAGAGAGAGAGAGAGAGAAACATTGATGTGAGAGACACATTGACTGGTTGCCTCCCACACGCACCCTGGCCAGGGCACAGGGAGCACACCGACAACCCAGGCGCCTGCAGGGCTCGCAAGCCAGGACCCTGGGACCCTGGAGGCAGAAGGTGGGCTGCTGGCAGCAGGGACGTTCTCTTGGCGGGGGTCAGGCGATGCGTAGGGAGATTTTTCAATAACAGAAAGACCATCTCAGGCAAAGGAGAACGAAGATGGCCGTGCGGCGCGCTGACGGCACGAACCGCCGTGTCCGGGTGCTCCCGAAGGCCCCCCCGTGCTAGGCTGGTTGGCACGGTGCCCCCGGGGACCCCGAGCCTGTGAGGGGGCTGGCCTGTCCACCGTGAGAGGTCCCCGTTGGCTAAGCGACGAGAGGGACCCGGCCTCCAGACTCGGGGACTCTAATAAGACAGCGGCCCTTTTTCACCGGTTTCTCTAGTCCAGGGGTCCTCAAACTTTTTAAACAGGGGGCCAGTTCACTGTCCCTCAGACCGTTGGAGGGCCGGACTATAGTTTAAAAAAAAAAACTATGAACCAATTCCTATGCACGCTGCACATATCTTATTTTGAAGTAAAAAAACAAAACGGGAACAAATACAATATTTGTATTTGCGTGTGGCCCGCGGGCCGTAGTTTGAGGACCCCTGCTCTAGTCTCCCCCAAACCAGCTGGGCCATTGCCCAAGGAAGGACCTGCTGTGGGAAGCTGCACGGTCCGGCGCTGTGGCTCGAGGCTCAGGGATGGGGGCTCCTGGGATGGGGCGGGTGGGGGGGTCGGGCTGCCACCCTCACCACCTCTTCTCGTCCCCACCAGGCTTTCACGGTCTTGGCCATCTGGAACACCATGCGGCTGTCGGTGTTCATCGTGCCCTTCTCGGTCAAAGGCCTCACGGAGTCCAAGTCTGCGGCAGAGAGGTTCAAGGTGAGCGGTCAGGGCGGCTGCACGGCCCTTGGCAGTGGGCGTTCACCTGCCTCCAGCCCCTGGGCGTTCCTCCGGAGTGCGGGATAGTGGCTCAGGGGCGTGGATAGTGGCTCCGGGGCGTGGATAGTGGTTCCGGGTGTGGGTGGGGGGAGCCTGGAGGGCGTGCAGCATGAGATGGGGAAGGACCCATGGACAGGTACAGACAGGGTATGGCTCTGGGGGTGGGGGTGGGGCTCATGGATGCTGGTCATGTTACTAAAAATAACTCAGCTCACAAACTAAAGGGCCGCCGTTCCCGACGACGACGATGTTATTCATCTAGTGAAACAGACCTGCGGTCCATGTATTTAAATCATGAAGAAACGGACTTCCTCTCATTTCTTTTGAGAATAGCTTTTTAATTTTATTTTATTTTTGTAAAATGCTAGGTGCTCATTGTAAAAAGTTGAGGCGCCACCGACAGGCGCAGGAATAACAATGACTCGGCATCCGCTGCCTGGACAGACCCAGTTCCCACCCAGCCCTCGCCCTGAGCGGGTCTCCGGGGAGACGCTGCGGAGGGATGTACTTCCCACCCCCCATTTAATGCTGAGGGTCACGTCGTTTAACTCCTGAATTTCACACACAGGGCGATGCGGACGCAGAGCCACGGCACTGAGAAGTAGATGGCGCCACAGGGCACCTCCCGCACGGTGGTACCTGGGCAGACCTTGTTCCTTTTTTTGTTACTTTAATGCCTAGTCATATAGATATCAGAGGCATTTCTTTCTTTTCTTAATTTCAGAAAGAGAGAGAGAGATAAAAATATCAATGACGAGAGAGAATCATGAACCGGCTGCCTCCTTGCACGCCCCACACTGGGATCGAGCCCCACAACCCGGGCAGGTGCCCCAACCGCGAACCGAACCGTGACCTCCTGGTTCATGGGTCGGCATTCAACCACTGAGCCACACGGGCCGGGCAGACCTTTTGACCTTTACGAGTTATAAATGAAACAGAAAAACCACACGTCGGTACTATGACTCAACAGCTGCTGTCGCCGACGATGAGGCTGGCGTAGGCCAGGCTGTCATCACTGTACAATAGACTGGACAGTGAGGAGTAGGGCGGGGAGTGTCCGACGTGAAAGGGGCCCGGTGGTGTGAACACGGGAAATCCACCAACAGAACTAGCCTCCCCTCGCTGGACGGTGGTTCTTCCCACGTTTGCTGCTCATTCGTTCACAGACCAGTCCCCGGGGCCGGTCAGCCGCAGGGGGACACGTTCCTCCTGGGCTAGCGAACTGAACGCCTCCTCCCTCCCCCTTCTCGCCCGGGCAGAGGTTCTTCCTGCAGGAGAGCCCCGTGCTGTACGTCCAGCCGGCGAAGGACCCCAGCCGAGCGCTGGTGTTGGAGAAGGCCACCTTGTCCTGGTACAGGCCCTGCCCCGGGGTGGTCAACGGGGCCTTGGAGCTGGAGAGGAACGGATACGCTCCCGAGGGGACGCCCGGGGCTCAGCCCCCGCCAGATGCCCTCGGGCCCAAGGACACGGGGGACGGCCTGGCCCCGGCGTTGCACAGGATCAACCTGGCGGTGTCCAAGGTAGCCGCCTCCTGCCAGGCGGGCGGGCCAGCGGCCGGGGGAGTGGGCCTGAGGGTGGGAGCCTGGCCTGGCGTCCTACCGTTTCCTCGGCTAGAATCTGTCCGGCCCAAACCTTCCTTTAAGACGCAACCCATCTAAAACGGCGTCCACCCCCAGCTCTGAAACAGTAGCCGGTTTCATGGGACTCCTCACCCTGAGAGTATGTGTGGGCTTCTTTATGGCATGGCCTCTCCCCACCAGCATGTAAGCACCCCGAGAGGCCTTGCCTTCATTCCTGGGCACAGGAGAAACTCAGATGACTCTCTGATGGGTGAACGAATGAATGAATGAATGAACGAACGAATGAATGAATGAATGCGTGAACACTGGGAAGCCGGCTCTGTTGTCCCCATTTCACAGATGGAGAAACAGGTGCAGGGAATACAGGCAGGTCTGGAATGGGTTTCTCTCCTAACAGGACCACCCACCCACCACCCACACCCCTCGGCCATCGCCACTCGCCGGCCTTCCTCGGAGGCCGCCCCCCTGTAGACCCACCTCAGGTCTCCTCTGGAGATGCGCTTGCCTGCGTGGCTGTGGGGTGTGCGTGGTTGTGTTGTTTGCCGTTGGTCATTTTGGGTTCAAACCCCGGACGCAGCTGGGGGAGAGGGAGGGCCGTCCGTGCCGACGCCTGTCTGTGTGGGCTTTCCAGGGGACCCTGCTGGGGGTCTGCGGCAGCACCGGGAGTGGCAAGAGCAGCCTGCTGTCAGCCGTCCTGGGGGAGGTGAGTTTTTAAGTTTCTCTCACTGAGAAGCAGGAAGAACACGATCGATGGTCCGGACCCGTAGGCCCAATGACCAGACTCCAGGGGCTGCCGTTGGCTGTGTCTGCGTAGAACCATCTCCTGTGGCGCTGCTTTAAACGACAGCGATGGTGACCCTTTTCCACTAACTCTTTGGCGGTGACGTGTGCCACGCCAGCACGGCCAAGGGTGAACCTGAGAGGGGGCGGCTGAAAGGCTTAGAAAAGACAGACAAGAGAATGAAAGCCGGGCCTGGGTGGGACACTGCTTCTCTGAGAGACAGCGCCAGCACCCACAAGCCGTGTCTTTATTTTATAGCAGATGCCACGAGGCAAAGTAAGGGCGTGGTCAAGATGTTTACAACATTCTCGTGGGTTTCAGTCCCACTCAACTACACGCACCTGAACTCTATCACACAGGCACCTGGGGCCACGTGTTTAGACCACAGGTTCAAGCTCACAACTACAGCTGTTGGCTATAATTGTGCTGGGAGGGCCCGGCCCTCCAAGCTGGGACTTGCACGTGGCCACGAGAGGACTGTGCCCTCTCCTCAGTCCGAGGCTTGAACCTGTCCCAACACTGTAGCGGCTCCCCACAGTGACGCCCAAAACACGAGGCCCACGCCCCACCCAGCCACGGCGACGTCCTCACGTTAGGAGTCGCTCTGGGACACCCAGGGCAGGTCAGGGCGGGCCTGGGCATTCCATCCACGGAAAGGGGCTGGAAACCAAGCGGGAAAAGCATGGGGTGTCTTCCACGCAAGCCCTGCTCATCCCCGTGGGGAATGCCCCGGTTTAGCTCCGTGTTCTCGGGGTCACACCCTGACTCACTGGTGGGGCTGGAGGGAGCATGTTGTTCTTTTGTTTTTTAAATTCAGATCCTTGTGGTTGTACAACTGAGGTTCCCATTTTTTTTAAAAAAACATGTTTTTATTTCAGAAAGAGGAAGGGAGAAGGAGAGAGAGAGAAACATTAATGATGAGAGAGAATCATGGATCAGCTGCCTCCTGCCCGCCCCCCACTGGGGACTGAGCCGAAACCCAGGCTGTGCCCTGACCGGGAATCGAACCGTGACCCCCTGGTTCCTAGGTCAACGCTCAACGCCTGAGCCACGCCGGCCGGGCAGGAGCATGTCATCCTAGACCCATTTCATAGGCGAGCCCCGGGGTCCAGAGGCCGGCGGGGCCCTGGCTGTCCCCTGGGCGCCGCCCTGAGGCTGACTCACGTCCGCAGATGCACCTGCTGGAGGGCTCGGTGGGCGTGCACGGGAGCCTGGCCTACGTGCCCCAGCAGGCCTGGCTCCTCACGGGCAGCGTCAGGGACAACATCCTCATGGGAAGCCAGTGCGACCAGGCCCGGTAAGCCTCTGGGAGGGGCCGGGAGGACGTGGGGGAGGGGGCTGTCTGGGGAAGGTTCCCCCATCCTCCCACCCCCCGCTGCGAGTGGCCACCTGAGAGCGGCTGGCACCCGCGTGGGCTCCCTTCAGGCACCAGCACCGCCCTCCTGGCTGTGAGAGGAAGGCCACTGTCCTCTCCATGTTCTAGGCCGGGCGGCTGAGGCCCCAGGAGGGTCAGTCACGTGCCCAGAGTTGGTGGGATTTGATGCCGCTGGGCCTGGACCCCGCGGCTGTCAGCAATTCCAGGTTTCACTCCTTTGGTCTATGGGCCCTCCCCCTCCGCAAGGTTAGCTCCACGGGTGTTTGTCTGAATCCCTTCCTGACCTCAAAGTCAGAGGGAGGTCAAGGGGGCGACGAGGTTGTCAATGTGGAGGAATCAGCTGGGTTCATGGGTGGGGGTGACCTGCTCACACATTCCCCTGGCGACAGCGAGTGGCTGTGGGGCAGAGGATTGGGGGGGGGGGCGGGGAACCGTGCCCGCAGGCCACAGCCGGGCTCCAGCTCCGGGGACTCGGCCTCTGTTGACTTTGTTCGATTTTGCAATCGGCCCCTCCCCCCGAGGGCACAGGCCTGGAGGGACAGGCCTGGAGGGGTTCACACTGGCCAGCTCCAGCCGGCCAGGCCCAATGCCAACTGGTGAGCTGCTGGCCAGTCCCCGAGTTGCCCAATCGGTGCGATGGCTCTCCAGAGCCAGCCACCTCCTCTCGCAGCCCCCTTCTCATTGGACGGCGCTGTCTCCTTCCATCTCTGCGCTCCTCTCTTCTCCGCTGGCGGCCAGCTCTGCGCTGCGCTCTCTGCCGGGACTGCTCCCTGGCCCTGCCCCGGCGCCCCGGCTCCCGCTTCTCCCCGTGTCCACCCCCAGGGGCGTCGTCCTAACACAGCCCTCAACTGATCACCGCTCTGCCCGCACACCGATGGGACTCGGCCCTTTCGAAATATCTGTCCAAAGCAAACACGGGCTGGGCGCTGCTGGGCACGCAACACAGAGAATCTCACCCGAACACGGAGACCCGTGCGCAGGAGTGTCCACACGGCACATGGTCACAGCAGCAAAGGACTAGAGAGGCCCCCCGTGTCCATCCTGGGGGCACGTGACATACTCACGCCGCCGCCGTGTGCAGCGTGTGATGGGGTGCTCGGGGCCGTTAAACCATATAAGCTGCCCACGGGCCCACAGGAATGGGTTGTTCCTGAATAAATACATAAGAAACTGTAATGGCAGTTGCTCCTAAGAAAAGCCACTGAGGGGCCCTGGCCGGTGTGGCCCAGTGGCTAGAGCGCCGGCCTGAGGACTGAAGGGTCCAGGGTTTGCTTCCGGTCGAGGGCACGTACCTGGGTCGCAGGTTTGACCCTGGGCCCATCCAGGCACATGCAAGAGGCAACCCATCGATGCGTCTCTCTCACATTGATGCTCCTCTCTCTCTCCCTCCTTCCCACTTGCTCTAACAATCAATTGAAAAAATATCCTGGGGGTGGTGGGGGGGGGGTGAACAAGACAACAGAAAGCCCGAGGGCCACAGATGCCAGAGACACGCTTCTCGCTGCGCCGTGTCTCCTTTCATTTCTGCTCCGATGTTCACCACGTGCGCGCGCTAGATCAAAAGGGAAGAGGCAGGAGGACGCGAACAGTCTCCTTGGCCGGGAGTGCGAGCGCTCCCCCTCCACACCTGGGGGTGCAGGTCCGCCCGAGTGTCCCTCAGCCCCCCGACCTTGCAGGTACCTCGAGGTGCTCCACTGCTGCTCCCTGAACCGCGACCTGGAGATCCTGCCCTTCGGAGACATGACGGAGGTGAGGAGGCGGCGAGCAGCTCGCCCTGTGGGCCCCGGGCCCCAGGCTGCCTCCGGGCACACAGAGGGGCCCCCACCGCGCTGCCTCCGAGCCCCCCATCGAGGGAGGGAAGCCGAGAGGAGGAACCTCCCACGCGCCCCTGTGCCCCCCACCCTGTCCCTCGCTGGCCAGCACCCCTTCTTCAGGGGGAACATAGCCAAGGCCCCAGGACGGGAGGTCGTCCTGACGGCGGGGGGGCAATGCTGTCCCCACTTCACTGTGATCGCAGCGCAGCCTGTGGCCACGTTCCACGGGCAAAGCCCAGTCTAGCGCCCCGCGTGCCTCGCTGCAGGTGAGACAGCCCCGCCTCCCGGGAGGCGCCTGCCGTCCTCCGGGTCCGCACTGGCTTCTTTATTCGCTCGTTCGTGGCTCCTGTCTGACACCCGCCACGAGGGGAGCAGGCGCTGCTCATCCGTCCCCTTATTTCGGGAGCCCGGCGCCCTCGAGCCCCGTCCCGTGGCCGCGGTGGCCCGGGGCCGGCCTTCCCAGTGAGCGGCGTTTCGCGGTGCCACGTGCCACGTCTGCTCTACCCACGCCGCCCCCGAGGGGCACTTTCTCCTGCACGTGGGGAGCACCGAGTGCTGAGGCCAGGGGCGCCCCATCCTTAGGTGCCTCGGGGTGTGCCCTGAGGGGTCCCGTCTGCCCCCTCTGCCCTCCCGGCGGTGCTCACCCTCCGGCCACGGTGCCTTTGGTTGCCCGCCCGCAGATCGGGGAGCGGGGCCTCAACCTCTCGGGGGGGCAGAAGCAGAGGATCAGCCTGGCCCGCGCCATCTACTCGGACCGCGAGGTCTACCTGCTGGACGACCCGCTGTCGGCCGTGGACACCCGCGTGGGGAAGCACATCTTCGAGGAGTGCATCCGGAAGGCGCTCCGCGGCAAGACGGTCGTCCTGGTGACGCACCAGCTGCAGGTGACGGCCCTCCCGTGGGACGGGCTCCCCTGCCCCTCCCCCTCAGCCTAGACCCCCCACGCGGGGCGTGTGGTAAAGAACTTGGCCCTCCTCTCCTTTGCGTGAGAAGGAGACAGGCTGGCGAACACCCAAACCCAAGTTCAGGGTCCCCTTCACCTTCCACAGGGCAGGGGGGCCAGTGCTTTGGAAGGAGAACCCCAAGTCTCCCCCGAGAGCAGGGTGGAGTGGGCTGCCCCCATGCCCTTCCCCTGGACACTCATCCTGGGCTTTGGCCTCAGACACTGTCGCTATTTCTCCCTCCTCTTCCAGCTGAGCCTCACCATCTTTCTGGTATAAGAAAAGGCATAAGAAGCTTTAGGAAGGGCCCTAACCGGTTTGGCTCAGTGCATACGGCGTCGGCCTGCGGACTGAAAGGTCCCAGGTTCGATTCCGGTCCAGGGCATGTACCTTGGTTGCGGGCACATCCCCAGTAGGGGGTGTGCAGGAGGCAGCTGATCGATGTTTCTCTCTCATCGATGTTTCTAACTCTCTATCCCTCTCCCTTCCTCTCTGTAAAAAAATCAATAAAATATATATTTTTTAAAAAGGCATAAGAAGCTTTAGGAAGGGCCCTGGCCGGTGCGGCCCAGTGGATAGAGCATTCAGCCCGCGGACTGAAGGGCCCCAGGTTCCATTCCGGGCAAGGACATGTACCGTGGCTGCAGGTTCCCTGGCCCTGGTCAGGGCGTGTGCAGGAGGCAGCCCATCGATGCGTCTCTCTCACATCGATGTTTCTCTCTGTCTCTCCCCCTCCCTTCCACTCTCTCTAAAAATCAATGGGAAAATATCCTCGGCTGAGGACTGACAACAACAACAAGGTTTCGGAAGCGATCTAGTGAAAACCCAGTGTCCAGCCCCCCCTCGACCCAATCGCGCGTGGACCCTCCGTCCCCTCCTGCCCTGCTGTGCACGGGGCCGCCCACGCCTTCATCCCTTCCCTCATCAGTGTGACTCTCAGACACAGTAAAGTCTCCTTCCCCATGTCCTAACCCAACCGTGGGCAAACTACGGCCTGCGGGCCGGATCTGGCCCGTTTGAAATGAATAAAACTAAAAAAAAAAAAAAAAAAAAGACCGTACCCTTTTATGTAATGATGTTTACTTTGAATTTATATTAGTTCACACAAACACTCCATCCATGCTTTTGTTCCAGCCCTCTGGTCCAGTTTAAGAACCCATTGTGGCCCTCGAGTCAAAAAGTTTGCCCACCCCTGTCCTAACCCGTACGTCGCTGCTGCTTTACTTCCCGTGACCGGTGCTAACCTGCCTTTTCCCGCCAGGTCACAGTCTGGAGATCGTCCACGCTGACAGGTGCAGCTGTCAGTCTCACGGGGGTGGGGTTCTGATCCCTGATATCCCAGAATTTATTCCCGAGGGTGGACACGTACGGTCTTTCCCCTCATTTTTCACTTTTACAAAAAATGCCTCAATGTACATCAGTCTACGTGTGTCTATGGTCGTTTGAGATTTGTTTTTTTTAGGATAGAGTTTTAAGGGGTTGAATTGTTGGTTCGTAATTCTTCAGGAATCTTTAGTTTTACGCGGCATTGTCCAACTGCCTTCCAAAGGAGTTGTGCCAATCCACCACCCGCCCAGACAGTTTACGAGCGTTCCCTTCCCTCCCAGTCACGGCCAGCACCTGGGGTTGTCCATCGTTTCATTTCTGCCAACCTGGTAATCCTATAGAATAAAACCCTAAATACGCAAATCGACAGAAAGGCGGAACCACCGGTCGCTATGACACGTACTGACCACCAGGAGGCAGATGCTCAACGCAGGAGCTGGCCCCTGGTGGTCAGTGTGCTCCCACAGGGGGAGCTCTGCTCAGCCAGAAGCTGGGCTCATGGCTGGGAGCGCTGCGGTGGTGGCGGGAGCCTTTCCCGCCTCCGCAGCAGCGCTCAGGACCCCTTGGGGGATGTCCGCCTGCCTGCTTAGGCCTGTTCCTGGCGCAAGCTGGACTGAGGGACCTCCCGCCCAGGCCACTGGGTCTCTGGTATAAAGTAACGTTGTGTCCCGACCTGAACTCAGGTTTCCTGTGGAATAGTGAGGCTGAACAGCTCTTTGTGTGCTCACTGAAGACCTTATTTCTTCTGGCTCCTCAGTATCTGCAGTTTTGCGACCAGGTCCTTTTGCTGGAAGACGGGAAAATCTGTGAGCAGGGGGTTCACAGCGAGCTGATGCAGAAGAAGGGGCGATACGCCCACCTCATCCAGACGATGCACGGGGAGGCCACACAGGTGATCCGCCCCCGCCCCGCCCCTCCCCCTCGGGGAGGAACCCCCTCGCTCACAGCCCTGCTTCCCCCCAGAACACACTCCAGGCAGCCAGAGAGCCTCAGGTGGGCGGCCCGGCCCAGCACCCCCTCCAGGAGGAGCCTCTGGGGGACAGTGCAGGTGAGGACGCTGGGTCCGGCCCTGCCCGGCTCCGGCCAAGAACCGCCTGGGCTGGGGTCGCAGCGGCTTTGGGGCAGCTGCCGCAGAAGCGTGTTGCTGCAGAGCATCTCACTGTCCCTGGACGAGGACACAGAGAGGTTGCGTGACTTCCCCAGGTTGCACAGTATCGTGATGACAATTAGGAACCAGGATCCTGGCCCTCGGTCACCTCTGTCCCCTTCTCTCCAGCCGCCCCTCTGACCCGTCCAGCGTGTGGGACGTCAGGCCCTTGGGGCTTGTTGAATAGTTGGGGGTGGACCCCCTTTCCAGGCTCTGGGGTCCAGGGTCTTCCATGGACTAGGGGCAGGCTGGGCGGGCGCTGCCGCCGGGAGGCGAGGGGGCGGGAGGGGGGCAGGCGCAGAAGCTTCGCAGGGAGCCGCTGGGCGCCGGGAAGAGCCGGGAGGAACGCCTTCTCCTCCTCCTCCTCCCCACCCAGGGCTGCAGAACCAGCTCACACAGAAGGAGAAGATGGAAGAAGGGTCCCTGACGTGGCGTGTCTACCACCAGTACATCCGGGCAGCCGGAGGTGCGGACTGGCAGCCCCACGCCTCCCGGGGGCCCCCAGGACCAGCCCCGCCCCGAGCCCCGGTCACCGGGGGAGGTGTGAGGTCATGGGAGGCCCAGGGCACCCAGGGTCACCCGACACGAGGCTCACCCTGCACCGTCCCAGCCACTCGGTTACGGCAGCTCCCCCGCCACAGCCAATGCTGGGACCACGTCCCCAGGGGCGCTGGCAGTACCATGCCCCCGAGATGCGTCTTAGACATGCAGACGTGCGTGCTACAGTCATGAGGGAGACCCTGCCAGCTGCAGGCAGGCCATGCCCCCAGGGCCACGGGGAGGCGCCAGGGGGGTCAGATGGCAGAGAGGGGCGAGGGGAGAGCGACCCCTTCCTGGGTTTTCCTGGGAGAGAGTGGGCAAGCTCAGGGTGGGTGGGTGGAGTCATTCCAGGGGCCCTGGCTCTGGGGGTTCCTAGTTGCTCAGAACCTGGCCCAGGGTGACTGGGGCAGGTAGTACTGGCTTGTGTGGGTGCGTGGTTGCTGAGGCCGCCAGGCTGTGGGTGGCGGGTGGCGGTGGGTGTCAGCTCACGGCAGTTGCTGGCCAGCCCTGGGAATGAGCTGACCCGGGAATGAGCTGACCCTGGAAATGAGCTGACCCTGGAAATGAGCTGACCCTGGAAATGAGCTGACCCGGGAATGAGCTGACCCTGGAAATGAGCTGACCCTGGAAATGAGCTGACCCTGGAAATGAGCTGACCCGGGAATGAGCTGACCCGGGAATGAGCTGACCCGGGAATGAGCTGACCCTGGGAGACGGTCTCGCGGGATCAGGGTCCCCACGCCAAGCATCAGGGCAAAGGACGCAGGAATGCGGTTCACACGGAGCCGTAGCCCAGCGGTTCCCAGATGGCCCAGCTGTGGCCTCAGTGAGCCGCGTGCTCAGCGCCGGGAGGAGCGGCTTAGGGCACACTCAGCGCCGTGGCACCAGGAACTCGGGCGCAGCTGTCGTGGCGGCGGCGCTGGCGTGTCTCTGAGGGCGGCGGCAGGCAGCAGCTTCCCCAGCTCGGCCTCGTGGCCTCCGCACATCACTGCACGGTGGCAGGACCCCCACACCATATACGCTCTGCACGTTGGGGGTCACTGCGGAGGTTTCTGAGTCACTGTGACCCTGACCACCCTTTACTTGTCGCTGGAACCAGCCCTGGGTGAGGCGGGCGTCCCTGACTCAGTGAGAAGGCCCGTGCCCAGCACCAGGCTCGGCGCCCCCACCGAGGTGCCCCCCTGGCACAGGCGGCGGCCCGGCCCTGCTTAGGGGAATGACTTCTCTAATCTCACTGCTCGTGGGCCGGACGCCGGGCTGGGTGCTGGGCACATGCCATCTCGGGTCGCCTCAGAGCCGAGGCAGCAGAATGTCCCTGACCTCGGTCCCTGCCAGGGCCACGCTGTCTGTCAGCAGCAGAGCCAGGGTTTGAACCCAGCTCCTCCCGGTCCTCCCAGGTGTCTGAGTGGATGGATGGGGGCAGGGGACCCGAGGGCCTGGGTGCGAGCAGCGTGGCCAGGGGCTGTGCGCCTCCCTGGGCGCCGGTCACGCTCCCTCCCTCCCCAGGGTACACGGTCGCCATCGCGGTTTTCCTGATCATGCTGCTGTTCAACGCCCTCTCCGCCTTCAACTTCTGGTGGCTGAGCTACTGGCTGGGGCAAGGCTCAGGGGTGAGTGCCCTGGGCGTGGGGGGCGCGCCTGTGGCCCCTGCAGAGGGAGTGGCTTCTCTGGGGGCTGAGCCCAGGCTGGGGACCCCGGGACCAGCCCAGCGCCTGCCACTGCCCAGGTGACAGACGGAGCCCAGGGAGGCCCTCTGGGAGCCAGACTTTGGGCGCCTCCGCCCGGGGCGACCTGGTGCTCACAGACGGAACCGTCACCCTGTGGTCTTTTGGGGACAGAACCAAGAGGTTTCTTTCTGGCGCAGGCAGGCCGGGTTCCGCACATCCGCGCTGCTTCCATGCCCCGGGCTGGGCGGGAGCCGGGCTGGGCGGGAGCTGGGCTGGGCGGCCACAGGAAGGTAGACCTGCTGGACTTGGGGGGCGGGAAGCAGGTTCTCCGTCAGGGCTGACGGCTGACCGCTGACACAGGAAGGCCGGGAGCCACTCTGATTTGTGCAGAGGTGACCTGCGCATCTCAGAGGAAGAACCGAGGAGCGGGGGGGCGGGGCCCAGCAGAGACGGGACACCTCCAGGGGAGCATGCCCACCCCAGGCTGCCTGCTGACCCAGGTCATGAGGCCATGACAGAGCGTCTAACCTCTAGCCCAGTGATGCGAACTTTGAGCTCGCGTGCAGCATTTTGAAAA